CTGCACTATGAAGCAGTCCACAGCCTCTGCAGCACGAGTTCGATCCCTGGTCAGCCAAGGAGCAACCCACATGGCGCAGCAGACCTCTCCTGCCTCGCCCGCTGCTCCCCTCAGCAGTGTACTTTGGTCAATTTGCCTGTTCGGTTCCCCACTCTGTCTCTGATGAATTTTCTTACCCCCTGCATCTCTGGCCTGTACCCCAGCTCTTGTATGTATAAATAAATAAATCTTAAAAAAAAATAGAAATCACTAGCATAAAATCCATATGACCCAGTTACCCTACTTCTGGGTAGTTACCAGAAATATGAAAACTCTAATTCAAAAAGATATATATTCCCCCGTTTACTGCTGCATAATATGTAATAGCCAACCTAAGTGACCACTAACAGATGACTAAATAAAGATGTATATATACACAATGGAATAGTAGTGTATAAAAAGATAAAATCCTGTTATTTCTAACAAGCATGGACCTAGAGGACATTATGCTTAGTGAAATGTTAGACAGAGAAAGGTAAACACTGTGCCTTCTACTCATATGGTATACAGAGCTACCAAAGAGCCAGCGAACTAAATCAAACAAAAATAAACTTTTAGACTATAAGACCAATCAGTAGTTACCAAAAGGAAAAGCAGGGGAGTGGCTACGCTAGGTAAAAGGGGTCATATGGTGAAGAACAGAATTGGACTTTCAGAAGTGAATTTAATGTGGTACACGCATGTTCAGCTCTTTAATCATGCACAGCTAAGTTATATGATATTATAATGCAATGTTAATGTTACTGAAATTACAAAAATCTGCCCTTTTTCTCACATTACTGCCTTTCTTTATGGGTGTCAAAATGCCCGTAATTTTCTGAAATAATAAAAGTAGATGACAGAGACCTTTTTCTTTATTTTTGTCTTGGAATATCCTTCTTGAGTAAAATTTATGATTCACTTTTCTGTCCTCAAATCCCAGCCCTTTCCCATTTTGTTTGTTCTCTTTTTTCTTGTACTAATTGAGGAGATTCAAAAATTTAGGAGCCAGTACACTAGATTCCTTTGCCCAATGGCTGGTGCAGCTTTTCATACGTTGACAATCTCCAGTATCATATCTGTTTTCTTCCATTTCTCTCCTAAACTATTCTACACATTAAAAAGCAAAACAGCCAAAAAAATTCCAGAGAGCCATGGTAACAGTCAAGACTTGTACACTGCTTTGGAAAACCACATAAAATATAATAAATTACATTTCATGCTGGGACAGGCATTATTAACACTCAATCTTAGAATGTCATCAATGTATTCCTTTCACTATATTGCGATTATCAATTCCCCCAAATTAAGAACACATGCCTTTATTTTACAGTCTACTTAATTAAGTTTAATTACTTCTCCAACAAAAATGGAGACAATTTAACTGCTGCTACCCATGTTTTAGGAATTAACTTCTATTTTTAATATACACCGGCAACAAGAGAACTGCTTAATTGGTTACTGCATAGAGCCATGTTTAGGGTTGAACTATGTTCCCCAAAACGATACATTGAAATCCTAACCCCTGATATCTGTGAGCTCACCTTATCTGGAAATACCTGGGTCTCTGAAAATAAAATTAGTTAAAACGTGATCAAGCTCCCCAAAATTCAGTGACCAGTGTTTTTGAAAGTTCATGAGAAGACACACAGGGGAGAATGCCATCTGAAAGCAGAGACAGGGATGTGTGACATCAGCTCATCTACAAACCAAGATGCTCCAAGGACTGCCCAGAGGTACCAGGAAGGGGTTGCCAACACCTGATTTGACTGCTAACCTCCAGAATGCTGAGTGAATTAATATCCATTGTTTTAAGATATCCAGTGTACAGCAGTTTGTTACAGCAGTCCTATGAAACTAATACAAATCAATGATTAGAATGACAAAGGAGACTAGTATCATCCATGCCATCTCTGAACCTCAGAAATGAAAAGTCAAAAGATAATTTGTAAATTTCAGTTACCTGATCACACTGGATAAGAATACAACAGAAAAGATAGTTTCTGTTGAAACTAGTCTGACGATTTCACTTTATAAACAATCATAATCAAGACTTATTAAACATTTCATTTGAAAAACTGCTTGCCCTACATAATTCAAATGAACAATGTAAAAAGATTTACTTGGAAGTGAAATATGATCAATGTTCTGAGATCAGAAAACTTGGGTTACTATCTAGGTAGTGACCCCAGAATTGATCTTCCTTCTGTGTGCCTAATGTATCCGTAAACTCTATCTTCAAATTGCTCATTTTCTTAAACTGTCACTCTCTGAAGTACTAAAGTACAAAACCCTGCCCTTCCACTCCTCCAGAGCCTTCCTGCACTGTAGCTCAGGTCTGCCACCCTTGTCATCTGGTCAACCCATTTTCCTTGCTTTTGAAGACATTCGTTCTACTGTAAATATATTTCATGCACACCTGACCTATTCCTTACCATGTTGCTTACAGTTCTTCCATTTTGGTCACTTTTATTGAGAGGTTACTAAGCCCCTCTTTGAAAAGAATATATTTATTTCTGCTTCCCACTGCTACAAGGTTTTTCCATACTGTTCTGCAGCCACCACTCCAGTCTTTTATCCCATTCATCTGTAGTCTCAGCCTACTTACAACATTAACTAACCTCAGATACACTCCCATTTCCTCCACTACTTTCATATAAATCTCAAACATGCAACAAACAAATCTTTGCATTTCTTCTGAGAATTAGAAGTAGACATTTTTTAAGTGACTCATTTTTATCTCTATTAAAAAACTGTGAAGTAACCATTATTCCCCCTTCCCTCCTTTTAAAATAAAATTATAGTAGAGAATTCCTAGAAATTGGGGTTCTTTACAAATTTGTAAATAGTAAGTAAGGGCCTACATAGCAACCTAAGTTTTTCTGACGACAACACAGTTATACACAATATATGTGCTTTGTGTATAAATGGATGAGACTCCAGAGTGACAAGACAGAGTCTGGAAGTGCTTCTTGGCAATGTGAAACAAGGACAAAGAATGGCTTGACTACAGGAAACAATAAATGAAGAAAATGGAAGAAGACTTGTGAGCATGTGTGAGGAAAAGGTGAGAGACATGAGAAATATATTTACAAGAGAATGAATGTATCAGACAGCAGGAATGGGTTGACTAGGGAGTAGAACTAACCTAGACTGTAGTAAGACTACATGGTAGAAAGGGAGGGATTTGTACTTTAGTAGTTCATAGGGTAACAGTTTAAGAAAGTGAGCAACTGGAAGATAGTTTAAAGACAAGAATGGAGGTCAATTTGGGCATCAGAAAAAAACTGAAGTATCTTTTTCAGTCTGTAGTTGGACTGACATGCCAAGGCAACAGTTTGTAAGTAACCACAAAAGTTAGAAAACAAAACTTAAAAAACTACAAGGGCGATCTCTTCATGAATGTTAACTGTTGCTAAATGTTTTGCATGCTTTAATTGATTTAATAATCACCAACCACTTTATAATTTAGGTATGATTATTATTCCCATTTTGTAGATAAGGAAACAAACTAAGGCATAAAGAGGTTGATTTTACTCATTATGACAATGAGACAGAATCAGAATACATATCAAAAAGCTGTTAAACAGAATTTGTAGCAGGTAGGGGCTGCCTGGAAGTAACTTTTATTAAAAATAAGTTTCACTACTTTTCCATTTAAATCACCAACCACCTCTAAGAAAATAAATGTCTGGTTCTTCACAATTCTCTGCTGTTGTCAGAGACTAGGACTGATTTCCTTACAGAGATCTTTCAAGTTTGATATACTTTATGATTTGTACCTGAAGTCATTACAAACCTCTTGTATCCTAAATAAAGATTATTATCCGAAAGAAACAAATCCTCCCCCGACCCCGGCCACAATGAAGTTTTTCCATGCTTTTCTTCTAAGACAGAACAACTGTATCGATTTAGAGAGATCCATCAACAAATTAAGTGAACGGGCCTGACTCATTTCTTTACGATGGTTGTAAACTGGAGTTCAAAGTATCGGGCTAGGCAACAACCTTAAATACTTAAGTACAATTTCAAACGCATGAAAAAATACAGTTTTTCACCGCATCTTCAATCGCCTTGGAAAGCCGGTCTTGCAACATTTTGACAGATATTATATAACTTTGTGTTTAAGTCTCGAGGGCACTAAATCCAAAAGCTCAAAGTTGCTTCAACGTGTGTTCCCAAACCACAACCTATGGACGCTACAGACTAAGGACAGCCCAGCTCACTCTCTACCACGAGCTGACCTGCACCCTCTCAGGGTTTCGGAACCTTCGAGGGTTTAAGAAAAGGAGTGACACTCGCACCTGTCCGCCCTACAGCATCGCGTCCTGCCCTGCCCCTTTCTCATGTTCCCAAGAGGCGTGCGAAACTCTCCTTCGAGGAGAGGCCAAGACCTCGGTCTTTCCTAAAAAGCTAGAACAGCGTGCAGCCAAAAAAAGGTGGCATCTCTTTCAGTAGGGGCCAGAGGGGCGGGGGGAGGACCGGACCCCCGGGGGCTGGGCTGGTCTTCCCCAGGCGGGACCCCGCCGCGGCCGGGGGCGCCGAGCCCGGAGCGGCCGGGGCAGGGGCAGGCACTGTCCGGGCAGCGCCCGCTCTCCCGCGAATCGCGCCCAACGGGCCGGGCGAGGGGGCTTCGGGCGCCGCGCAGCCGAGGGTCCTAACGGGGACGCCCCCGGGGAGGGGAGCAGCTCCCGAGCCGGGCAACGAGGCCCGGGGCCGCAGCCGGGGAGGACTCTCAACCCTTTCGACCACAACCGCGCCCTGGACAGCCCCGGGACAACCGGGGTCAGCGCCCGACGGGGTTTCGGTGTTTTACCTTGTGTTATGGTCCCAGCCAACCGCCATGTTTCACAGAAACCCGGGCCTCCCGAGTTCCCGTTTCCCCGGAAATATCGCGAGAAAAAGCGGAGCCGCCCACCGCGGAGATACGCCAGAATGGAGGCGGGGCGAGGGCGGGACCACGCGGCGTTCTCGCGGTATTTCTGTGTGCGTGGAGTGGCCCAGGTAGTCGAGGCAGGGCTGGGCGGTGTTGAGGTGACGGGCCGCTAGGTGTGACCGGCTGTCTGGCAGACAGCCCCTCCTGGAAGGGAGAGCTGCCCCCGCCAGCGACCTGGAGACCGCAGAACGCACTCGTCACTCTCGTCACTAATGCGAGCCCGGAACGCAGGCATTTTCACTGGCAATTCTGATACCGTCACGCCAAGTTCCGCATAGGTTTTCTGTCTGCTGCTCTTTGTAGTCTCCCGTCAGGAACATTTAAATTTATCTTTTGCAGACAGGTAACATTTTAAGTTATTAGCTCGTAGTTTTTCCTGTGTTCCAGATAGTAAGAAAGTACACTCAAAGATTTGTTGGGAAAGAACATACTAAACTCATTATTATACACGTATATTTTAATATATATTTTGTATCATTCTTCCTCTTTGTAAATGCATGCTTTCTCCTCAGGTGTAGTCCCGGTAAAATTCCCACACCAATTCACACGTGCACTGTCACCCTAGTCCCTTGTGTTCTTCCCTTCCCTGTTTTAATTCTCTCCCTTCCCTGCAGAGTGTTTTTGAGTAAACTCATTTTTTCCTAACACTTTATAGTATGAAGTAGTAGAGACTTCGGAAGGAGAAGTTAATTGGGAGCTGCTGGAGAACAAACCCATCTGTTGCCAATTTTTCAATCAGACATTGAAATTAATTTTCTTATTTTTTATAAAGGCATAATAACGAGTAATGCTTATACAGGAAGCCCTTTGTTTGTCTTATCTTATTTAATCCGTACAAGCTGTAAGGTAATACCATTTCTTATCTGTTTTAATAGGAAAGAAAATTGGTTCAAATGACACTTACGTGATTTAACCAAAGTCTCATAGCTGAAAGGTTAACCACAACACTAAATTTTCAAAGGAACAAGGCACATCATTTTATCTAGAGAATTAATGATTAGTAAATATGAAATTTCAATAAGTTTAAATTATCCTGTGTAATTAGGGCAGTTAATTTCTGCTGATGCAATTTCGTTTCCAGACTTCCACATCAGAATTAATCCAAAGACTTTATATCAACTTGACTTGCAAGTTTCTATTTTCTTCGCGTATTTAAGAAGTAGCATTGAGCAGTGGATAAGATCATAGACACTGGAGCCAGTATTTCTGGAATTAAAGTTCTGGTTCAGCCACTTACAATGGCATGTGAACTTGAGCACATTAGATCATCCCCATGTCTTCTGTTTCCACATCTGTAAAATGGCAGGAGAACATCTTATATGATTGTTATGAAAACTAAGTAAGTTAATATACATCCAAAGTGCTTCTTAGCCACAAAGACAACAAGAACTCTTCCCTTTTTGTGGGTCTTAGGCTAAGAACTCTTGCTTCATTGAAGACTGGCTATTAAATTTTACACCTGCTCCCTGCTTTCCTCTGTGGTCTGCTTTTAGGATAACGTCTTGATACCAGAATTGTCAGGCCTAGTCTCCCAGCCAGGAACGGATTCCAGGCTGCAGGGCAGTGCTGAGCCCCAGCCACTAGACCCCCCACGGGTTGGTGTCTCACGAAGCCCCAGCAGGAACTTTGCAGACGCTCAGGCAAGCAAGCGAGAAGAGGCAGGGCAGGTTTGTTTAGAAAAAGTTTATTGAGGAGAAAAAGAACAGAAATAAAGTGGGACTCCCAGGCCAGGGAACCAGGCCTGGGAGGGGCAAGGAAGCCAGAGTGAAGTCATGTCTCAGGGAATATATACCTTCTTTCCCTGATTATTCTAAAGCTCCACCAGTCTCTCTGTGATTGGTTAGTTCTCGGCTGTCTCACTTAATTTGCTACTGAGTAGGGGATCTTCACATTCCTTATCTAACAGCTTTCTTTTTCCCCATTTGTTGCATCTTTAAATTTATGGCCCAGTCCTCTGGATGGGCATCCCTGCATTGAAGTTAAACAGCTGCCCTTCTAATGTGTCCATAAATTAAACCACTCTCCATTTCTCCAATCTCTACCTCCCTTTACCACCTGAAGGAAACCAGGACTAGCATTAACAAAGTTGTCCTTGGTCCTGAGATGTTTGTTTTTCCTAGTGGAATGGGTTACTTTCCCTTGGTTGTCCTTATCTCTGAAGCCTCCCTAAATTCTTCAGAGGTCCCCTCCTGCACTGTCCCTAAAACTGCCTAATAACCCTAGCTTGCCCTGTCTCAGTCTGTCCTATAAGAGTTAAATTTCCCGGTATAGCCAAAGAGACTAATTTGTTCCTGTTAGTTTTAAAAACAGCTCAACATCTTCCAAGTTCTCGAAATGAAGACTAAATTTCCCCTAAAGATTGAAACCCTCCTTAACCTCAAAGGTTTGCTGTGATAATGATGTGTTGTTAGTGTTAGTCTATCTAGAAAACAGTGTGATTACCAAAAATAAAAAAAATTCATTGTGTCGAATATTATCTGCAGAAGCAAACTAGGAGATAGGCTTTAGATTGGAGAGGAACAACAGGTCCAAACAGTTTGTATTTACTACAAGTGCTCACTTAGTAGGTGTTTCCATGCCTCCCCACCACTCCCGTTTTTTCTTTCCTTTCTTTTTTTTTTTTGGCTTCTCTATAGATTGAGTAAATTTTAGCAAATGACAAACAAAATTAAGATAAACAAATAATAGTTTGCGGTATGACTGCCACACAAAATCCTCAAATTCAATATATCTCAGTAGGTTTTATAATTTGTACTCAAATTTAATCTCCTGTGTACCTAGGAGAATCTGTGGTATCACTAACTTCAAACTCAATTCCATTAGAAATCACTGTGTCTCCTCCTTCTCACTAGCTCCTATTACAATAACTAAGCAATTTTTCTCATTTGGTTTTCCCAGTTTTATGCTGCCATCAGGCCTGTCTGCACTCAATTCAATCTAGGTGATTGCCAATGTTATATTCAAAGTTTATATTTACATTTCAAACATTGTCATTTACACACTTAAATCTTTTCTATGCCCAGTTCAGGCTTAAAAACCTCAAATCACTTATTCACAAGCAGGATGAAATTTTGTACATCAGCTGATGAACAACTATTTCGATTTATGCAAGGTGATACAACCTGATATTGAATACCTCTGTTTCAGTAAAGTTACCACCAAGGTCTGACAAGCATTATTTGTGCAATATTCCAGTATGATTAACAAAGGATTAAGGGAGTACAAGTTAGTTAACTGAACTTGTGGTCTGGCCTTTCTTATAATAACTGCAGTCATTCCCTACCTTCTATATGACAAGTGGTGTGTAAAGTACAGACTACGACCTATTGACCAAGCACTATGATTATGACGAGTGTCATTTATAATACCTGCTAATACACTATTACCTTAATAGTTATCTGTATGCTATTCATCTTAATACTTATAATACTAATAATGTATTACATATACTCAACATTTTTTACTATCAGTTATAAATTTCAACACTATAGTCAGCTGAAATATGTACGACTGAAATATGTACGATGAATTTCATATAGTACGACTCTACATTAATTACATTTGAACCTGGTGTTTTACCTTTTATTTCCAAATATTCTTTCATCCATGTTCTCTATCTGTGCATCATAGATATATTTGCTTCACATAGACATATTTGATCCACATGTTTATTAGCATGTTTGTGAATTCTCAGAGTCCAATTTTAGCTCCTTATATATTCCCTGAAACTTTTAACATTACTAATTTTATGTAAACAGTGGATGAAATTCTTAAAATAAGTGCCTAAGGCAGAATACTTTAAGTCCAAAAGAGTTAACATATTTAATGCACATTTTACTTCAAGTCCAAAAGAGTTAACATATTTAGTAAAATATTAATTTCAGTAATATGACACGAACAGATATTCAGAAAGTCTGCAGGTCTCCTCACCTTTCGAACTCAAATGCCTTGAGGAATCAAATTGCACTCAGATCTCATCCAAATGCTTTAAATTCAGATAGCTTGACAACACCTTGCTAGCCTCTCAAGATGGAATTGTGACCTCCCACTCATACTGATACTCACTATCTAGCTTTCACTCTATGACAATCACTATCCAATTTTCACCTGTTAATGTTAACACGAACACATTCTTAAACCTGGAGGAAACTTGGATAATGCCTAAGTACATTGGTAAGTGTGTGCTTCCATATTTCTGTGACTGTTACAGATATGACAATTGTCATATTTACAAATAAAACGATCAAGGTAAGCTAATGGGGTGTCCCTCCCCAGTTAAATACCTTGGGAATGAATGAAGAATTATTAAAGAAAGAAATAGATATAAAAAAGAACTAGTAATTGGAGAGATACACTATATTCTTGAGCAACAAGTTTTAATATATTAAAATCAATCTCTCCCCAAGGAATGTTTGAACATGGTCTATGTGCTATGCTTAACAGTTTATTGCTGAATTTTAACTGCCTACAAATAGCAGATTTTATCCATCTTGGTAGAAGTCCTGTTATAAGAAGACCTAAGCAAAAATGCAAATATTCCTTTAAAAAGCTTTGTAAGTGTGTAATTTAATTCAGTGAGTTTAGTATATTTACCAAGTTGTGCAATCATCACCAGAATCCAATTTTAGAAAATCTCCATGGTCCAGTTTTTGTTATCTTCTCACTCACAGCCTAGATGACCACTGTCTGCTTGCTGCTGTAAATGTGCCCCTTTTATGCATTGCATATATATGGAATCCTAGCATATGTAGCCTGTGGAAACCAGCTTTTTTCACTCAGCAGAATGATTTTAAGGTTTAACTGATTTTTGTAACCATTTTTAACTGTGCTCTTTAGCTCAGAAAAAAAAAATGTTTAAAGGGTAGAGTAAGAAGACATCTCTTTAAGGCATTATTTTAGGAAGCTACACCAAATAATATAACTAACAGGAATTAAAAGCTTACTAGGTGTCAGTCCTGTTACAAATGATTTAAATGTATAAAAACCCCTTTAACTTTAGGATATGAGTAGGTATCTTTTATTACCTTCACATCATAGTTGGGGAAAGGGAGGTAAAATAAGCTCATTTGGATGGATAGCATGCAATTCTTCTCTGTCCCCACAGGAAAACTATGTGTCCCCAACAGCTTATGAAGGAGACTTAGAGCTGGTTCCAGACAGCAAACTGCTGCAGGAAAACCTTGCCATACTGGCTGGTATGGAAAAGTGATTCCAAGAAATTCAAGAAAAGAATCAAATGTAGCAGCTCTGACCTGGTCTCCAGGAACAATGCTGGGTGCCCCTGGGAGGAGGACAAGGCAGGCAGCTGGTGGCCCTCTCACTTCAGCTGGAACCACCAGGGAAGCCCCCCTAGGGTCTCCACTGCAGGGGCCCCTTGAGACACCTGCCCAACCCTGAGCCCCAGGACTTGCATATCCACAAGGGAATGAAAAAGCCAGGGCCAGGAGGCCAGAGAGGGACAGAGAACCACAGCCACATGTTCGTATATATTGGAGATTTGTTTGCCTTAGCTGCACATTCACTTTCTATATTTCTCTGCTTTGCAGCCTAGAAATCCCGCTCCATTTCTTAGTGGAGGCTTATTTCCAAGAACTGCAGAAGCTTGAAATGCTATGAAGGCAGAGATAGTGTACTCCAAGGAGGAAAAATCCTCTGGGATAAGCCATTTGGGAAATTCTATCAAGAGGTGGTTCATTAAATTCTCCAGAAACAGAAATGAGTAGCTATTAGTCTTTGTAGAACCTTCTGAAATTTGTGAGGAAAATGCTGTTCTTAAGTGAACTTTATCCTATATTCCCCTAAGGATATTACTAGAATCTTACTGAGAAGTAAGTTAAATTCCACTCTGATGCAGGCCTTTCCCATGGCCTAAAATACAAAAAGTGAGCTGCTGGAATTGTGGATCGCTTTTCTTATCCCTGAGAGAGAGAATCAAGGAATTAGTACCCCCGATTCTTCATTAAAGTTTAAAATTAATTTTATTACAAGTATTTCTACAGTAATAGTTTTGTTCTAAAGTATTTCACAAGTACTTTTAAACTCAACAGCACTTTATTCAAATATAGTGCTATTTTGGTGGGAAAAATAATATATTCTACATGAGAAATATTAAAAATATTAACCAAGAGTAACACTCTGCTTTAGTATCTAAACATTCTGCTAGCATGAGATTTTTTTTTTTTTAAAGATTTATTTTTATTTATTTATACAAGTACTGAGTACAGTCAGAAGCGCGGGAGGGTGAGAGAATTCACCAGAGCCAGAGCGGGGAGCAGAGCAGGCAGAAGGACCGAAGTACACTGCTGAGGGGAGCAGCGGGCGGCAGGAGAGGTCTGCTCGCCATGCGGGACCCTCCTCCCGTGGCCGGGGAGCAGCTGGGGATCGAGCCGGCGCTGCAGAGGCTGCGGGCAGCTTCGCAACCCAGCACTCAACCGCTGCGCCACCAGGGAGGCCCTAGCATGAGATTTTTTAACCTTTGAAAACTCTTAATCAGAGAAATCTTGATAGACTGCACAGTTGGAAAGAGCTCTGGAGATCTGTATTTGCTTTGTGAGACTCTGTGCCTGGTATTTGATGATTCTATGTGTATAATTTTTAAGATTTTAAAGAGAATGATGTCATTTTCATGAGATCTGGGGTTTGGTGAGCAGGGTCCATGGGTTACCTCAAAAGTTTCTGCGGAGTTCCCCTTTTAGTGGCACACAGAAAATTTACCCAGGAGATGAAGAAGTCTGCACAGACAGATGAAGACACAGACAGGCGAAGGTTACATTTTCAAAAGACAGTTTTATTAGGAAAAGGAGGAGAGAAGAAAAAGGGAAAGTGACATGCATCGTCACAGGCGGGCAGTCTTGGGAGGAAAGTTGTCTTTAACCAGTCCACAAATTGTTCTTATATGGTTTTCTTCTTTTGGGGAGGGGTTACTTACTTTGTTGAATTTTTATCTATTTATAAATTAATCACTTTTAGAATCATTAGGTTAATTCGTAAAAACCTGGATTCTCTATATCCCCACCTTTGGTCTAAACCTGGAGATATTTTCCTTCCTTTTTTTTTTTTTTGCATTTTTTCTTAAATGAATGCATTTTGTTTATTGTCAAATATTTTACAAATGTAATTTTATGTAATAATCCACAAACCATCACCACAAAGTGAAAGGACATTACATTTTTCATATTTCAAAGTTTCAAACATATAATTTCAACGCAATAGTTTGCAGTTATTTGTTTATTTGCTTGTTTATGTTTTTATTTTTATTTATTTTTTTTTAATTTTTTACATCATTGTTCATTTTTAAACAATATTTTCTTCCCCCCACCCCCTCAGGCCTAGTTCCCATAAAGTTTCCTTTACCAATGCACCCATGCACCATCACCTTAGTCCCCTGTGCTCCTCCCTCCCTCCCTCTCATCCCTCTCCCTCCTCCTCCCCAACAGTATGTCTCTGATTTATATTGTCCATTTTTGCTTTGTTGTGTTTTGTACTGTTATTATTTTTTTACACTGATGTCTTATTTCAGTCCCATCTATTCCTGCTGTAAGTGAAACCATCCGATATTTTTCTTTTTCCTTCTGGCTTATTTCACTGAGCATAGTTCCTTCTAGTTCCATCCATGTTGCTGCGAATGCAGGAGTTTATCTTTTTTGATAGCTGAATAATATTCCATTGTGTATATATGCCACATCTTTATCCAGTCATCTATTTTTGGGCATTTGAGTTGTTTCCAGGTTTTACCTATTGTAAATAGTGCTGCAATAAATGTAGGGGTACAGGTGGTCTTTTGAATCAATGTTTTTGTGTCCTTTGGGTAGATCCCTAGGAGTAGAATTGCCAGGTCATATGGTAGCTCCATTTCTAGTAGACTGAGGAAACTCCACACAGCTTTCCACAGTGGTTGGACCAGTTTGCACTCCTACCAGCAATGTAGGAGAGTTCCTTTTTCCCCACATCCTCGCCAACATTTGTTGTTGCTTATTTTTTTTGATATGTGCCATTCTTACTGGTGTAAGGTAGTATCTCAGTGTGGTTTTAATTTGAATTTCCCTGATTATAAGGGATGTTGAACATTTTTTCATATGCCTGTTGGCCATTTGCATTTCCTCTTTGGAGAAATGTCTTTTAAAATCTTCTGCCCAGGGCCTCCCCGGTGGCGCAGCGGTTGAGCGCTGGGTTGCGAAGCTGCCGGCGACCTCTGCGGAGCCGGTTCGATCCCCGGCTGCTCCCCGGCCAATGGAGGAGGGTCCCGCATGGCGCGCAGACCTCTCCTGCCGCCCGCTGCTCCCCTCAGCAGTGTGCTTCGGTCTTTCTGCCTGCTCTGCTCCCCGCTCTGGCTCTGGTGGATTCTCTCACCCTCCCGCGCTTCTGGCTGTACCCAGTGCATGTATAGACAAAACAAACAAACAAATAAATAAAACATGCCTCTATTAAAAAAAAAAAAAAAAAAAAAAAATCTTCTGCCCATTTCTTGACTGGATTGTTTTTTTGTAGTTGAGTCATGTGAGTTCTTTGTATATCTTTGTGATCAGTCCCTTATCAGTTGACTGGAGTGCAAAGATTTTTTCCCAAACTGTGGGGTGTCTCTCTGTTTTGGTTAATGTCTCTTTTGCTGTGCAGAAACTTTTCAGTTTGATGTAATCCCAGGTGTTTATCTTTTCCTTGACTTTCTTTGCTTTCAGTGATGCGTCTTTAAAGATTTTATTGCGATCTACATCTTGTAGTGTTTTACCTATATTTTTTTCTATGTATCTTATGGTTTCAGGTCTTATGTCCAGTTCTTTTATCCATTTTGGTTGATTTTTATGCACAGTGAGAGGTAGTGGTCTAGTTTCATTTTTCGTATGTGGTAGCCAGTTTTCCAGCACCATTTATTGAACAAACTGTCCATGTAACCTGGAGATGTTTTCTATAGCAGTCTGTGCCTTAGGATTTTTCATTCCTTTAGCTGATTTAACTACTATGTTAGTTATTTCTAGCCCTCCTCACTCCCACCTCCAGTTTCTGGCCTTGTGATATCTCCATCCCAAATTTTTTACTCTAATTTTCCATCATAGAATGTTCAAAAACATCTATGAAAAATTATAAATGCAAAACATAATATATATTTATATTTAAAACATAAATATATGTTGGCAAAGTTGAAATAACAAGTTGATTTTTGTTATTTATTTCCTAACTTATAAAGTTTATATATGTAAGTATACATATACTTTTTCACTCATATTGATTTTAATAGCAACTTCCAAGACTGATCATGTAAAATAATATTATCTAAATTACAAGATAGGAGATGTATGCAGGCAGCGCCAGCCCTGGTCATTTCCTTTTCCTTCTCAAACCTGGAGGTTCCTTCTCAAACCTTTCTGTTCACAGATGAGCTGTCTCCCTCACCAAGGCCCCTCCCAGGGTACTCTAAACACCCCAGCTTGAAGTCAAGTGCAGAAGGGCCACTCAAGTTTCCCTCCCATCACTGGAAGGGAAAATGCCATGGAAATGGTATACTTGGCGAGATTCAAAGATGGTCAGAATAGAGGCAAGGAGTGTTCTAGAAACATGTTTCAAGTTAAACACCCAAAGTTACCCATCCCCTTGTGTCCAGCCAAACAGGGTTGGCCCAAAGTAGGACCACTGAGGCCCAAAAGCCTGCCACAAGTCTGAGGCACCTTCTGGTGGGAACCATAGGAAAGGAACAGAAGGGGCCAGGCAAGTCTGAAAGAAAAATAGCAAAAGCAAAATACAAGTCAAGATAAAAGCTGCCATTGTCAGCCTCCCCAATGATCTCTCACCCATGTCTCTTATCTCTTTCAAGTGTCTCCTTCCATCTCCCCCCAGTCCATGGTACAGGTTCAAGGCCAAGAAGTAAGCATGTCTTCACATGTCTCTCAGTTCCATGTATCTCCTCCAGTTTTTTTCCTCATACCCCTCTTTCATCCTTCTCCCAGTCTTTTCTAGCTTCTCCTGCCTGCCCAGCTCTACCCTTCCTTAGTGTGGGACAGGCAACCTGGAACCTCGCCTTTCTCTGGGATTACATTGTTACAATTCTCAATAGAACTGTATAATTGGAAGCTATATTGATAAAGTATTCAGTGACTGTTGAAGACTTGGTATTTCTTCTTTATAAATAGTCAAAAATCTACTGAGACCTTAAGATATGTCTGGCACTATTTTAGGTTCTAGAAATACAGCTGTGAACAGAAGAAACAAAATGCTTTTCTTTTTGTGGGGCATGTTGGAGGGTGGAGAGTGGGGATAATACAAATAAAATCCCTGTAATAGTAGGAGGAGGTAACAAGAAAGTGGTAGCAAACTGAGGTGTGCAGTAATAGAGATATGGTGAGGACAGAACACATAAATATGATAATTGAACTAAGCCTTGACTAAGATGAAGGAGGAACATCCCTGGCAGAAGGAATAGAATGTTTGAGGCAGGAAAACCTTTGCCAGATGAGAATTCCACCACTGAACCACTAATGCTAAAAACATGATATGGTATGTGAAGGAACATCAGGATCAGAGCTATGAGGCAGGAACAGGTGGTTATGCTTGCACTGACCACATTATAGGATTTAAGAAGGACTTTGGATTTCACAGTAAATGTTGAGCCAGTGGTGTGCTTTGAGCAGAAGTACATCCTTTGCCATGTTTTAAAATGATCACTTGACTGTTGTTTGGAAAATAGGCTGGAGAAGGCCAAGAACTGGTAGCCAAGCAACTGCAATAACCCAAGGAAGCCTGGTGGCTTTGACCATGTTGGTACTAGTATAGGAGGTGACAAGTGGGAGAGCCAAAGGATTTCTAATGAAT